AAATACATACAGCTACGTAAAGCATTGTTGGCATTGGTGTCAACTCTTAGTGTAGTTGTTCAACCAGTTAAAATACAATCATTAACATAATGGACTGATAGCCCATTTTTAATTAGTCCACCTTCTTTTAATTCTCAACTTTGACCCTTGCCTCAGTTTCATGTTTCCATTGTACGCATTTGCCTTGGGTTGCACTGGGAGTTGCACCTGTTTTTTTTTTCTTTTCTTCTCAGGTGTTGAGATTACACCCTTGTACTCTGAACAATGCATAAAAGCAAAGGCTGCAACAATTATCTTCGTTTCCTTCAAATATTGATAGGACTAAATAAGCTATGAGTCAAAGAGTTGTTCTCAATCTGACCGAGCTTCTGGGGCCCCGCTCCTCTTCCGATGAAATGTAACTGGTTATCTATTTCCTAATGGGATGTTTTGATTAACAACTTGGTGTGGGGAAAAAGAGCAGTTTGGTACAGAACGTCAGATTGGCTTGGGCAGAGGCCTGTGATTCACTACAGGGCCCTCAGCAAGAATGGTTTTGTCCAACTCTCAAGGCCTACAGATTAGCACCCTAATTTCGGCACGCCCCTACCGTAGCTGGGTCCGTGATCGCATTTGGGTTTTGGCTCGCTGAAAGGAAAACCCCGCATGACTTGACACCCCCTTGATAAATACATAAAATTATAATGAAACCAGCTGGCAATGAATCATTGATCCACCAGGAGCAGTGATTAGAAAGCCTTGCACAGTGAACTCATGTGAAATAAACAGCTGATAGTAATCTACAGGTATCTGAATATAGCGGACCTTTGTTAAGATCCATATGTCACGGATAGGATCATACTTCTGTGCTAAATGAGAGACATGTAATCATTTACAAAACATTACCACCATGTTTCTATTTAACAAAATAATGTTGTTTAATGCACCGTTGGCGTATACTACAACTAACAAAAACCATGGGGTTTGTTTTTTTCATCAGGAAATCCAGCCCTGGCTCAAACAAACGATTTTTAATCATCATCCTCACACCGATCATTTAATCGTATAATAGTTCGCCGAATTACATGAAAGCACTAACGAAATATGGAATTTGCTGTAGTTCCTTCATTACAACAGTTATTAAGCGTGCCTTAACTCATAATTCACTAAAACGAGGTTTATTTTTAATGAGCCTCGTCCCATCTCACCACGGTTAAACAAGAATATGTGTTAACAGTTAACTGTATTACTCAGTGTTTAACATTACTGCTACAAAATCACACATTGAGTTCAATTGTTTGCAATGTTAAAATCAGACCGTTGTTTTTTTAATAAATAGTTCTGAAACTTTCGGCAGCTCTCAGGTGATCAGCTGATCAGCTGTGTGTGTGACTCTCTTTGTTTACATACTAATAGCCCAATCAGCCACAGCTCCCCTTCCCGAATCCTCTCTCCTCCAGCAAGTAAACGTTTAAACTGTAGGTTTGGGTTTGCATATTTATGCAGTGACTGTCTCTTCCCTCTCTGCCAGCAGACAGCTGAGCGCAGAGGGGCGGACTGGGAGGAAAAGTGGCCCGGGAATTAATTGACAGACAGGCCCACCTAATGCGCGGCATGTATCGCCTGCCGCGACGAAAGTATGTTACTTAACAAAAAACCCTATGCATTATAATGTTATTGTGGGATTCACTATAGTAACTCACATTACGCTGAGCCCTTGAGTTGCCTAGAGCAAATAGTTTACGCATATACTTTAGTGATTTTAATGTTAACAGATCATTGAATGCAATAACACCTTGGACCAAATTTGCCCTGACTTGGACACACAGAATAAAACATGGGCCGTAGGAAGCATCCTCAATGTGGTGAGACAATTTAACAGGGATGTGGGCAGGTGGTGGGACCTACCTCCTCCAGGGGGGGTCCGGGGGCATGCTCCTCCGGGAAGTTTTATTTTTTTAAAATGTTGAAGTTAAATGCATTCAATCTGGTGGCACTTTGAGAGCAAAATTAGGGACTAAATCTATGGATACAATCTCTCAACCACCCATGATGAACAGATTTACTTTTTCTTTACACATTTATTTGAACAAGCGAGTGGAGGCAAAAGTGAGTGCACCCCAAACAATAACCTGCTAGACCTAACTAGCCTAAACTCAGTAACAGAATGTGGGCAAACAACGTTCTTTCTCACAGACCGTCAGCGCGCAACCTCTGAGTCACCCTCGATTCCACAAGGGTCCGTCTGCGGCGTGTTACGGCTGCGCCATGGTTTTGATCCGGCTCTCCGGCGTCATAACTACCGGGTGCATTTCAGAAGCCTTTCAGCAAGCCTTTCAGAAGCGGAGCGTCTTGGCTGCCGGCTCGCAGTTTTTGTTGATTTGGCATATTTCTGGACAGGCTACGTTGTAACAGACAAAGTTCATATAATTTCAGTTATAAACAACATGAATCAACAGATGTGTTGCTATATTTAGTGGTAAAAAAAAATGCATTCATCATCATAATTATTCTATATATATAATTTACACAGGCCTCAGAGCTCTCAAGTCTCACGCATTTGGCGTGAGAACCAAACGCATTTCACTCCATTCAACGCTCACAACGCCACACTTGTATTTCTCACGCAGAGATTTCTTTCCAGGGACCGCCCACCAAGTTCGCGCCCAATTTTGTAAACAAACCTAGCTTTTTGAGACGCGTGAACCTCCACAGCCCCCCCCAGGTGACATTCGCGATACAGAGGGCTTCATACTCCACATAGCACAACCCCCCGTTTGACATTCGCGGTACAGAGGGTTTCATGGGAACTTTGAGGGGAAGGCCAGAGTTGGAGTCCAAAATCTCACTCTGAACTCTGTTCAAAAACTTGAGAGCCCTGGTGGCCTGTAAACCGGAGGAGAACGCTGGTATTTCTCATACTACTTGAAAGCACTTACGACGGAGGGATACGGGTCTGCAAAATTATTTGTGTGTGTGTATATATATACGCATATATATATAACAACACAAACTAATTTTGCAGACCCTATCCCTCCGTAGTCTTTGTCAAGTAGGAGGAGAATACCAGCGTTCTCCCTCCGGTTTACAGCACCAAGGGCTCTCAGTTTTGAACAGAGTTCAGAGTGAGATTTTGGTAACTCAACTTCTGGCTCCCTCAAAGTTCCCCATGAAGCCCTCTGTACCGCGATGTCAACGGGGGGGGGGGGGGGGGTTGTGCTAGTGAGTATGAAGCCCTTGTATCGGCGAAATGTCACCTGGGGCTAGTGGAGTTCACGGCCGTCCTCAAACAAGCCTAGTTTGTTTTACAAAATTGCCGCGGCGCGACCTTGGTGGGCGGTAACCCTGGAAAGAAATCTCTGCGTGAGAAATTACAAGGTGTGGCGTGTGAGCGTTGAAGGAGTGAACAATGCGGTGTCTCCACGCCAAATGCGTGAGACTTGAGAGCTCTGAGGCCACTTTGTAGAATTTATATATAGAATATTATAGATGATGAATGCATTTTTTTACCACTAAAATATAGCAACACATCTTGATTCATGTTGTTTACAATGGAATATTATTATGAACTTTGTTGTACAAAGTAGCCTGTCCAGGAAATATGCCCAAAATCAACAAAAACTGCGAGCCGGAAGCCCAAGACGCTCCGCTTCTGAAGGCTCTGGAAAGGCTTCTGAAATGCACCCGGTAGTTATGACGCCGGAGGAGCCGGAATCAAAACCATGGCGCAGCCGTAACACGCCGCAGACGGACCCGGTGGAAATCGAGGGGTGACTCAGAGGTTGCGCGCTGACGGCTGTGGAGAAGAACGTGGTTGCCCACATTCGTTACTGAGTTTAGGCTATTAGCATAGCAGGTTTATTCTTTGGGTGCATCACTTTTGCCTCCACTCGCTGTTCAAATAAATGGTTGAAAGAAAAAGTAAATCGTGTTCAAATATGGGTGTTGAGAGAGTAATCCATAGAATTTAAGTCCCTAATTTGCTCTCAAAAGTGCACCAGATTGATGCATTTAACTTCAACATTTAAAAAATAAATCTATCCCGGAGGAGCGAGGAGCGCGCGCGCGGGAACCCCCTGGAGGGGTTAGGTCCACCACCTGCCCACATCCCCTGTTAAATTGTCTCACCCACATTGAGGATGCTTCCCTAAGCCCATGTTTTATTCTGTGTGTCAAGTCAGGCAAATTGGGTCCAAATGTTATTGCATCAATGATCTGTTAACATTAAAATCACTAAAAGTTATGCTGTAACTATTTGCTCTAGGCAACTCAGGGCTCAGGTTAATGTGGATACTATATGAATCGCAAAATAAACATTAAACTGCATAGGGGTTTTTTGTTAAGTAACATACTTTCGTCGCCGCAGGCCGATACCATGCCCGCGCATTAGTGGGCCTGTCTGTCAATTAATCCCCGGGCCACTTTTCCTCCCAGTCCGCCCCTGCGCTCAGCTGTCTGCGGCAGAGAGGAGAGACAGATCACTGCATAAAATGCAAACACCCAAACCTACAGTTAAACTTTACTGCGGCTGGAGAAGAGAGATCGGAAGGGGAGCGTGGCTGATGGGCTAGTTAGATATCGTAAACAAGAGAGTCACACACACAGCTGATCAGCTGATCACCTGAGAGCTGCCGAGTTTTTTTTCCCCCCAGAAAAACCCCCTTATTTTTTTTAAAAAACAACGTCTGATTTTAACATTGCACAACAATGAACTCAATGTGTGATTGTTGTAGCAGTAATGGTTAAACACTGATAATACAGTTACTGTTAACACATATTCTTGTTAACCGTGGTGAGATGAAAGGCTCCATTAAAAATAAACCTCTTCGTTGTGAATTCATGAGTTAAGCACGTTTAATAACGTTGTAATGAAGGGAACTAACAGCAAATTCATATTTGTTTAGTGTTTCATGTCAAGTTCGCGCGAACCATATATACATTAAAATGATCGTGAGGATGATGATTAAAAATCGTTTGTGAGGCCGGGCTGGATTTCCTGATGAAAAAACAAACCCCATGGTTTTTGTAGTTGTAGTATACGCCAACGTGCATTAAACAACATTATTTTGGTTAGATAGAAACATGGTGATGTTTTGTAAAATGATTACATGTCTTCTCATTTAGCACAGAATATGATCCTATCCGTGACCATATGGATCTTAACAAAGGTCCGCTATATCAGATACCTGTAGATCTATCAGCTGTTTATTTCACATGAGTTCCACTGTGGCAGCTTTCTAATCACTGCTCCCCCTGGTGGATCAATGATCCATTGCAGCTGGTTTCATTATAATTTTATGTATTTATCAAGGGGGCGTGTCAAGTCATGCGGGGGGTTTTCCTTTCAGCGAGGGCCAACCCAATGCCGATCACGGACCCACTACGGTAGGGGCGTCCGAAATTAGGTGCTACATCTGTAGGGCCTGAGAGTTGACAAAGACATTTGCTGAGGCCCTGTAGTGAACACAGCCTCTGCCCAAGCCAATTCTGACGTTCTGTACCCAAACTGCTCTTTTTCCCACACCAAGTTGTTAATCAAACATCCCATTAGAAATAGATAACCAGTTACATTTCTCGAAGAGGAGCGGGCCCCAGAAGGCCTCGGTCAGATTAGAACAACTCTTTGACTCATAGCTTATTTAGTCCTATCAATATTTGAATGGAACGAAGATAATGTTTGCAGCCTTGCTTTACGCATTGTTCAGGAGTAACAAGGGTGTAATCTCTTAACACAGCTGATGAAGACAATTTGTAAAAACAGGTGCCAACCAATCATCATAACACAGGGTGGCCAAACCCCAAGGCCAAATGCTGTACAGAATGAGAAACATGAACTGAGGCAAGGGTCAAAGTTGAGAATTAAAAGAAGGTGACTAATTAAAAATGGCTATCATCCATTATGTTATATGATTGTATTTTAACTGGTTTTGAACAACTACACTTAATTTGAGTTTTGACACCAATGCCAACAATGCTTTGTTTTATACGTAGCTGTAATGTATTTACTCGTACTTTACAACAGCACCCTTTTTTTTGGGTCTTTTGGGGCATTTGAACCTTCATTTTTAGGAGAGAACATGCAATGATGCCCAATCATAATGTAGGTGGTTATTTGAGGCTTTCCTGGAATGTCCTGTAAATTAACCAATAGTGTAAGATACCAAAAAGAAAAAAAATATATACATAAGCCACGCTCCCTAAATGCATCAGGTTTCTTGGATGAACAAGCTGGTTTGTGCATTGGCCAAACAAATTAAAAGATAGGATGGATAAAACTGAATAATATTGGAATTATTACCAAACAAAAAATGTGAAACAAAGCAGATTTGTATGACATACAATTTGAAATGCCTTTCTGATTATGAGGGGAACTCTACTGTTAGTGCATCTAAGAAGTCTACCATGTACATTTCAAGGCTAATTGAAATAGGCTGAGTTATAAAGAAGTTGACCAGCACCCCTACTTTTTCTGTAACCTTCCTTTCAAAGTATGTGTATGTAATCCATTCTGTATCTCCTTTCATGTAGACCATGCTTATGTAGCACTTCTTCCAGTATAGTGTTGCTACATTTCAGTTGTGGTTTGGCCATTTCAGCAGATAGATAACCAAATCTCCCACCTGGTCACCTTTGCTCCAATAAAAAAGCAATTTGCTCACACAAACGACTGGGTGGTCTGCTCCCAATTTCTCATTATCCAAACCCAAATAGGCTATTGTGTGATGCGTAGCTGCGGCTGATAGGGTTTGCATTGTAGAATGGGCTTACAAAAGATTGTGATACAAAAAAAATAGAGGTACAATGGGACTAAAATTAGAACAATTGTTTGCAACAGAAAAGGCCACCAACTTGGGTCAACAAACACTGATCATAAAAGATAAATAAAACATCTATTTTAATGCAGATCTTTTCATTCATGCAATTAACATAATGTGTATCTTCATTAGCTATTGTTATAGACACAATAGGTTCTAAGTATAGAAAACATGTAACTGTGTCAAGGGTGGTATTACACTGCTTGAAAGGTATGAACTGAAGTGTTTATCTGCCAAAATTGCAAAACTAAGATGGTCATGGTAATGGCTGACGCAGTGCTATGGCAGAAAGTACTTTGAGCTGAAGGCTAATGTCAGCATGAAAACATAATCACAATGGTTTGGCAACCTAACTTTAAAGAACAGAACACTCTCAGTCAGATTATAAAGTGGTCTAGCAGAGTACTTGTACATCAGACAGTTACAGCTGTAATCTAGCTCCATGTTAAATGATGACTTTAACATTATGAGCAGTCTAAAAGTTGTAGCAGCATTTTTTTTTCTTTAAACTGCAAACCAAATCTACTTAGGGGCACAAATTAAGAACTTGAACCTCAATTTAAGAAGTTTTGCAGAAGCAATTCATCCTGAAAGGGACACAAATTATGACAATCCATCCAAGACTTATTGAGATAATATACTTAAAATGACACTGGTCCTTGTCATGGTGGTGTATGAGTACAATTTGGGAATTATCGATACAAAAATAGTTTGTGCCATTTTATCAGACAAATTAAATGAAGTTTCACCTGGTAGGTATAAAGAAAACAGTACAATATAGAAACATAATCACCGTCATTACACATGTTTCTGTTGGTAAATGTAAACATACTAAGATACATTATTAATCCCGAGGGGACATGTAGTTCTTTACTCTGGTGTTATTATACAATTACACATTAAAGGTGGGGTAGGCATTTCACTTCAGATACACTTTTTGTTATATTCCATGGAATGCTCTTAACATCCCGATAGCAATGAATATATTAAATGCTTTGACAATAGATACTGTACATAAAAAAAGTAATCTGTGGAAGACCAATTATCTGAGCCGCCCGGCTAAAATAACTGGATGGACCTACTGCCTGTCAGCCTTCCATCTGTGCACAACCTATCACGTTGCCTCATTGGTCATTTGCGCGCTTGTGTGTGTTGGAGGAGGGGCCTCTGTAAGGAAGTCTTTTCGGCTGCGCTTACTTTACAGATTCTAGCGCTCCAAGCTGGTTTCTCCATTCTTACCTACCCCATCTTTAAGGCCAGAATACACACACACGAGAACCAGGACGTTTTATAACGACCATTCACTAATTGATAAAAGGGACTGGAAACCAGGGAGCAGCTGGGTGGTTTGATGTGTTACTCAAGACAACCTTTTGGTCCATCAGGACTTGAACCGGCGACCCTTCGGTTCCCAAGCCAAGTCCTTTTCCGGACTGAGCTACTGCACGGTTCCTTGTATACATGATAAACCACCACCGCTGGCAATGTTAAACAGATATATTTTTAGTGTGAAGTATATACGGATATTAGCATCTTTAAAGTTATATTACACAGTATATTAATAAAGTATAGTAATTTGGTGCGTCACGCCTTAACATTCAGATTTGCAATTTCCATATGGATAGCATTTAAAAGTATCCACTACTCATTGTGAGAGTAAAGCAGAGATCATGGATTGAAATATAATGCTGTAATCAGAGATTATCTTCTAATATTAAACCACATTGCCGTTGGTGGTCATCAGCATTGTGAATTTAAATAAAGAAAGGCATGTATATTATTACCCAAGATGCATTAGAGTGGGTAAGCACTCTCCCCCATCCTCATCTCTCTCTCCACCCACGGCTGCTCCACCGCCGCAGAGTGCCTCGTGATTAATGAATTGAGAGAAGCCCACATAAATGTGACCAGTTCAGTAAGCAAGCATGCCAGACACAGAGAAGAGCTCACTGTGTTCTCGACCGCAGGGTAGCACCGGAGGCGCCCTACGGTCTGATCCTGCTTACCACCTGCTCTGGTTGGCATAAAAATCT